TTTCCTGCTTGCTTCCTAAGAATGGCATCAATTTTGGGAGTTTTTTTCTGCTATTGCTGCTTACCTAAATTTACCAGCGAGATTTGTAACTAAATGCATCAGTTTAATCACTAATGACAAATATCACATCCATCCTCTTCTCTTATATTTATTTATATGTCAATAAAATAGAAAATAACTATTTATTAATATATATGAGTCATAAATAAAAATAATAACTCAGCTTGTCATTAATTTTTTCAATTAATTTTAATTTCATTTCAAATTCAAACTGTCCAACAAAAACTGGAGTCGGAGTCGATCTGTTTATAGTGACTCCAGCTCCGACTCCTTTACCCTAAAATCTGCTTGACTCTGATTCCAACTCCATGACTCAAGACTCCACAGCCCTGCCTTCTAGACAGGAGTATTTTCCTTAAGAATTTTTAAAAGTTCATATATACAAATATATTGGCTTTTGCACAGCCTGTGTGTAATGCTTACTCCTTAATTATTATTTTATTCTTAATCTAAGCTAGTGATGGGAACTAATTATTATTCACTATTTTCTTAAATTTTTTTTTTTTTTTTTTTTTTTACATTTGTGATATGATATAGAAGAATAAGTACACAATATCTGTATCATTATATAAAAGTCGCAGACGAAGCCCTTAGTTTGGAGCGTGAAAATATCGAGTGCTTTCAGTAATATCGAAATTTCTCCAGCAAAACTGCTTTCAGTAATGAATTTCATGATTTATTGGGAAATTTTTTTACTAAATTATTTCATTTCTTCAACTTCGATTTCATGCTTATCAAAAGCTTGAAAAAGTCTGTTGACTGCTACCACTATGCTTCTTTCGATCAAGTACTTCAGTTTTCCGATGTAACATAACTTCTGCTGTGAATGATAACCATAACAACAATGCTTTATTAAAACTGGACTGAACTGACTATTATTTTTAATGACTTGGTCGACTTCATTCTTATTAAAGCTGTGGAAAAATCTGTTGATTGCTACCACTACTGTTCTTTTGACGAAGCACTTCACCTTTCCCACGTAACATTACAACATCTGCTGCGAATGTTAAGCCTTAACAACAACGCTTTGTTAAAAGTAGACTAAATTGACTATTATCCTTAAAGACCTGATCGCAGCAATTTTGATAGCAAAAAGAAATTCAGCTTTTCCATGTCTTAGATGCAATATTTTATGTCAGTAAAAGTTGTAATTTGATGTCAACGCTGTACATTTCTGAAACACACGGATTCGTTAATGCTATGCGTATTTTTACTCTTTAAAAAAGGGGAAACAACTACAAACTTTCTGTAAATTAATAATAAAAGATTTATAAAATGACACGATTTATCAGACTCATGGCACCCATGAACCGAGAAAGGCGTTCAAATGGAGCTGTTGTATTGATTGCAATAAGGAAAAGGTAAAAATGAACTTTAAGGAATATTATAAATTATTTTATTGCCTTTATGGAAAAAGGAGCTAATGTATCCCACATACTAACGTACTGCTAAACTGTGTGTTTTGTGTAAATAAGTTGACTATTGGTCTACATATAAATAGATGCATTTTGACTATTATCATAATATACCTAACAGAGATCCTTGTAAAGTTTAGAATAAGGCCTCTTTCTGACTGGAAAAGCTTCTGAAGAAATGTTGTGGTACCTGACAGATTAGAATATACTGAAGCATGTAACGACGTTTCGGTCTGTCACTGCCATGGACAAGTACCCAGTCAGATATTACTATTTTGAAAAATAGTCTCCATGGCAATTAATGTTGATTCGATTTTTGTTGTTTTGAATATGATGATCTGAGTAAAACTATGATGGTTTTTAAAGCTGATCCATTAAGAATTTTGTGTGTTAGAAGATTTTTATCGATAACGTCTGGCCATTGCAAAATATTTCGAAACCGTTAATAACTTAACTAGAGTAGTTTAGTGTTTGAAATCAAAAGAAAAACAATCATGTGTACAGATTACTTCAGACTTAATAGTATTTTGTGTTTTGATTCGTATTTCTATGCTATATAAATAAAAATATATAAATAACTTCTGAATGAGTTGTCACTTGATATCTAACTTTCGCGTCAACTAATCATACTAAATTGTTTATTGAATGTTTAAGATCATACCACTGTCGAAAACTTCTACCCTGAAAGTGAAGGTGAGTTCATCATATATAAAACTTATCTACATACATACCTGCCAACCTCTAAAGATAAAAATTCAGAAGATTTCTCCAAAATTCAGAAGAATGCGAAGAATTAATATCATGCTTTGATATTAAAAAAATAACAATTTATACAAATAGAAAAAAGAAAATTGTACTTACATTAGTAAATCTCAATTAAGTAGTAACTAAAAAATTTATTAGGAAACATAAAACAAGAACTTAATGTTACACAAAAAAGTTATTGCAATGAATTTAGAGTGCATTTTTTGGCTTAAGCCAAAAATTCTTTGGAAAATTTCCTTTCATTTGGAAAATTTCCTTTTCTTTGGAAAATTTCCTTTTCTTCAAAAGATGAATTTTAGTTTCCTTATAACATTTAGCAATTAAAATGTTTTCTAGAGTTTTTGGTGAAACTGAAGAACGAAACAGTTTTGTTTTTCTTCACAACACTGAAGACTCTCTCGCACTCAGCATTACTGTGTGGAATTACGAGAATAGCATATAAAACTCTTGCTAGTCTATCATATTTTGGTGTTCCATCAGCTCTTTTTATTTTTTTTAAGGTACCAAAGAGGACATCAAATCCATCTTCTCCAGAACTGGCAAAGTCTTCAAACTGTGCAGCAGAAAATTGGTTCTGTAGTTCATCTAAAGCATCATTATGGCATTCATTTTCTTTAATTGTTAACAAAAATGGAAATTTATCAATAAAAAAACGAATCTTTTCAAAAGATGAATTTTCAATTTGTTTCAAATTTGCCCCTTCAGCATTTAAAAGAACTTCATTTTGAAAAGTACTTTCTAACACATTGAAAAAATTCTTTTTTCTCATGATCTTTCAAAGAATTTACAAGTTCCCTGGTTTGATTTCCAATTATAAGATCATTGCCATCCTTTTGATTTGCCAAACTATTATAGGCAACATGAATCAACACACTGTTTTTCACGACGGACGGTTTTACAAACTTAGTATAAAGTTCTTTCAAAAGATCATTAAGAATTTGGATACGCAGGGCAGATTTTGGTGAAGCTGATTGTAGAAGGGTATTTACACTTTCAAAAATCTTAATGGTACTTAACACAAAATTACAATATGCTTTGTTCAAATCCGAAGAAAGAAGACGTCGTTGCTGCCACCGATTGACACCGAAAATGCTGAATTCTGGAGTGCAGCTATCGTTTTACTTTGTGCATCGCAAGCAATTTCGTTCACAATAGAACATGTTTTCGTGCGAGCACAAGCATATTTCTGAGCAATCTTGGAGTCGGGAAACATCCGTCTGAAAAGTTCACCGGCGTGATCGGCAGCGCTTAGCGGCACATTGTGTTCGATGAGGAATGCAGTAAACAAACACTCTGCACTCTGCCAAATGACATGACATCGGCATCCGAATTCGTAGCCGAATTTAAAAAAAAAAAATCATCCACTTTCTTTGATGTTGTCAAAGCCGAAGCATTAACTTCATGCTTTTTAGACTTAACATGCTTCACAATGTCGCTTCTTCCACCGTGACTTATTATGAAGTCACACACGCGCACGTTGCAAAATGCATAGTTATTTTCTTTGAAGGATTCTTTAATTGTTGGAAATTCGGCTTTGTAGGCAGGCCGAAAATATTGAGAATACGGATTTTTTGAACTCATTTCGTAACGACGACGTTTTAAGAAAATTCGTAGCACGTGAAAAAAAAGAATGCGACAATCCACGCTTGCTGAGTAATTCCCTTGCTGCTGAAGCGAACGCGAAAAAAATAATCTGGCGCCCACAAAGAAAAGAGTGGGAGAAACAAGTTCAGCGCATTGGATTGGCTGGTTAAGTGGCGAGTTGGGAGAAACCGCAGGTTACTGGATTCGAAGTAGTCGGTAAAACACGATGCAATTGGCAAAAATCGCTGAATTGGCGAAAAATTCTAAAATTTCGACAAAAATCACTAAACACACTTGAAAAAAGGAAAAGAATCGTAAAAAATGGAACAATCGTAAAGACAAATGCATTTTCGTAAAAATTACGAAAAATTCATAAAAGTTGGCAGGTATGTACATATGTATGTCTCCCTCCCCGCAAATCTAGCCTATGTGATGTATCTCGCTCCCTATGTATGTATTGTATGGGGAAGTTATAGTGTGCATTATATCCCTATGTGAGTGTATTACATCCCTACATGTAATATAATTATGTATCCTCACATAAGTGTGCCCCTATGTGAGTGTATTACATCCCTACATGTAATATAATTATGTATCCTCACATAAGTGTGCATTACATCCTTATGTGTGTATTATATTGAGTTTTTGATGATCAGATGACTAAATGATCAATGGATTCACCATTCCCAAAAGTACTTTTCAACTAATATCCGTCCGTTGGAAAGAAAGTAAAAAGAAATATTTAAAACTATAAATTGAATATCATATTTGTTTTAAAATATTTGCTACCTTTTTTATATTATTTCATGATTTTATAATTACATTGCATTAAATCTTTTTTGCATATTGGAACATCTCTCATTTTTGCGTCGCTTATATTAAGGACAGCTACCTGTGTTACAAAGAGATTCGATCATATTAATAGTGGCATTCATTTTATATTATTAATTACTTTATACTTTATACTGGATTTGCTCATTATTTACATGATTTAATTATGTGTAACTTTTTTCTAAAAGATTTGAGATATGCAACTTTTTCCCTAATAGTATAAGTTTCTGGTATTACAGAACAACTGTTATGTTGAATGGGTGACAGTTACATTCTAGACAATTAATGATCATCAAGTAAACCCAGCATTCAAAAAGACTGTTTCATCACAGAATTATTTTTTTTAAAAAAAATTTATTTTTTACAGACATTTCACAGCATATAACAAGACATAAAAATATTGCTCTATTATAAAATATTATATAAACATACTTCATTTGCTATTTACAGATACTAGCTACATTTTTTAAAATTAGTTTCAGTGAGTCAAAATTTCAAAACATAGATTGCAGAAATTTAAGACAAGCAGTTGGTCAAATTTGTTGCTCAAATTTGTTAACATGTAATTTTAAAACAAACAAAATAAAATTACAGCTCCAAAATAATTTATTCTCTTCCATCTTAATACTGTTTTCATTTTGATTTATAAAAAGAGTATTTTGCAAGGATAAATATTGCAAAAATTACTTGAGAATTCTTGCATTAAAAAACTGTTAGCAAATTTTATCTCTGTAATGTGTAAGATGAGACATACATGAAACATAAATGAACTTGGTGAAGGCTCAACAAATTTCTCTGTTTAATTGCTAGGTGTTTAATTCTTAATAATTATCATTTAGAATGAAATTTTTTGCTAGAATCCCTGGCATGGTCTAAAAGCAATTGACAAGGAGTAAAATGAGGACCATATAATTCACTAAATTGTTCCATCCACCGAAGGAGTTTATCTGCTCCATATGTATCAGCATATCGAAATGGTCCTCCATGGAAAGGAGGAAATCCTAGGCCAAACACAGCCCCTATATCACCTTCCAACTAAAAGGAAAAAGAATTTTATAACTCAAGCAAAAAGTATAAATGTATTTATTTTTTCATTCTTGAATAAGTTTTGGATAACAAAAGATATACTTACAGGATTAGCCAGGATACCTTCTTGCAAACATAAAATTGCTTCATTTACCATACGTGTTACAAGTCTCATTTGTTGCTCTTCAACTGTAGACCTATAATTAAACATACATTAATGCATTTGTGGTGTCAATATTATACAGAAATAATAGTAGAATATAAACACATAAAGTTTATATATTAACGTAGGCAAAGCACACAAGGATTATAATGGGGGACTTTTTAAGGGAAACTTAGCTTGTAGTCCCAATATGTAAGAAAACCATGAAAATTTCCATGCAGCTTATCTGTTCACCAGGATTTGACTCTGAGCCCAACTACCGTAGTTAAAAAAAATCTTATCTGCTTGGTTGCTGGTGAGCCTTAAGATAAATACAGACTGCATTTCCAGTGAATGTATATTATTTTGACATGCTCAAATACACTCATGTCAATAAATTAAGGATAATGCAAAATCAGGCAAAGGAAGAGTTAGAAGCAAAACAAATTTGACTTATTTGTAAAGCTTATTTATTAAACAAAAAAAGGTAAAGAGAAGAGCAAAAAAAGATGCTATTATTAAAAAATTAGCAATTTTTTCTCCCTGGAGCAAATTACAAAAAAAAACCTATTTACAAAAAACCAATATTACATGGTTGGTATAATTGTTAATACATTGTATGTCTCCCAGAAGATGCAATATTAGTCCGTACAACGGCTAGGCATGCTGAGTATCAAATTATCGATCTGATCTTAGGGGATATTACAAATACACCACTCAAAAGCAATACTCTCCGAAGTTCCGGTAGACATGTAGGAGGAGAATGACAGGCTGCAACTCGTTGGCCAAGCATGTCCCACACGTGCTCTACTGGATTCAAGTCCGGTGAGAATGCTGGCCAGTCCATACGGGTGATATCCTCCGATTGAAGGCATTTGCTTACAATGTTTCCACGGTGAGGACGGGCGTTGTCATCCATAAACACAAATTGTGCACCCATGGTGCCCCGAAACAAACGTACCTGTTGTTCCATAATGACGTCCTGATAGATTTGGCTTGTCATGGTTCCAATTTTAACATGCATGTCAGTCCAGAATAATTCCACCCCAAACGAATACTCCTGCACCACCGTAACGGTGTCGTTCAATGATGTTTTCTTGGTGGTAACGGGTACCTGGAGCTCTCCATATGAAAGTCCGGCGAGAATCAGACTGCAAGCTAAACCTGGACTCATCGGAAAACATCACACAAGCCCACTGTTGCGGTGTCCACAATGCATGCTCTCTACTCCAGGCTAACCGCAGGCGACAGTGAGTTGTAGTAAGTGGAACGCATCTGACAGGTCTACGAGCATATAGACCAATCTTCTCTAAGCATCTGTACACAGTCTGACTTGAAATTGTCGTACCAGTGGCTGAAGAGAGCTGACGCGACAGGTCTGAGGCTGTGCTCCGCCTGTTTCTTTTGGCAGTAACTGCCAAATACCGGTCTTCATTCGGCTTTGTAACTCTGGGGCGACCTGTGCTGTAACGTCTACTCACATTACCATCATCTTGGAATCGTTACCAAAGCCTGGAGATGACACTCTGAGCAATTCCAAGTTCGTCTGATACTTCCAGTTGGATATGCCCACATTCCAGACGGCCGATAATTCTACCACATAAAAAAATCATCCAAATGCGTCCTTTGTGTCATAACTATTCGGTTATTGCACTGAAATGCTTATAAAGCGCCTGCGAACAATTTTACTTCTTTGCCTGTATTCCTTATATATCACTCTCTTACACTCTCGTCACTGTGACGTACCATCGGTGTCATCTGGTTACTTCCTGAAGTTTGCATATGATTTTTGAATATGTGTGTAGTGATTTTACAGGTGATGTATTTATTTTAGAGTTCGATTTCCGTGTGACTCCGAATTATCCTTAATTTATGGACATGAGTGTATATGAAAGTATAACTTTTAAAGCATTGACCACAACCAGCAAAACTGTCTTAAAAATGTTGAATATTATTTTGCTACATTATAAAAGTTAGGATAAACTATACTTGAAGGCTTCCATATACTTACGGTTTGGGAGATTCAACTTTGTATTTTGTAAGAATATCTTCTGCCTCACGATTAATTTCTCTCTCCTTTACACCTGGTGTGTAAATGTAACATCCTTTTCCAGATTTGCGACCTGTATTTTTTTTATACATTCAAATAAAAGTGTCAGTTATTTTAATGTCTCAGAATAGGGAAAATATTAAAACAAAAGTACACTTGATTTTATGAATAAATTATTTTCAAGATTAATAGAAATAAAAGTATACCTAAGAAACCAGCTGCAACCATATCTTTTAAGACATTTAAATTTGTTTTTCCTATGAATCGTTCACCAAAGACATTTGACAAATATTCAGATATGTGAACTGAAACATCCAAGCCGACCTCATCAGCTAATGTTGCTGCTCCCACAGGAAATCCAAACTCTTTTGTAAGTTTATCAAGATGTTTAGGATTGTTGCCTTCCTATAAATTGGGCACGCAAGGTTTAAAACAAATGCATTAAAACAGTCAAATTGCATGCTTTCATAAAACAACAAATATACTTGCCATAATAGTTAGAAAGAAATAATAAAAATATTAGAGCACATAAATCTGAGGTGTTTCTTGTATCATCTTTTGCCAGATTAACACAGTTTGATTTCCTCCTCACTACTGTATTTATCTAATTATTCACTTTTATAAAAATATATCCTTCTATGTTCTAAAATATTTCAAACAATTCACCCCCCCCCCCCCCTCCTCTCAAATGCAGAATTCATTCATTCTGTTGCAATATATTGAATGTCTCTTTGATTTCGGAACACACATATCTCAACTCAAATATTCCATGTTAAAAATTGTTCAGTTTTTCTATTAGATAATGTTTCTGTGTGACAAGTTCATTCTTTACCCTTTTCACAATGCTTACGTAGAAACTAATATAATGTCTTCTCAACAATAGTTTATTATGTCAGAAAAGCACAGCTGGTTTGTAATACTAAGTTGGCATATCTAATTTGAGGTTTTTCTTCCAAGAAATTTCATGGAGAAAATTTCCTGTATACAGACATTCTTCCTTAGGATTTTTAAAGAGGAAGTGGCTTATACAGTAAAATTCTGATAGCTTGCACACTTCAGAACTAAAAGTTTTGCATATTATAAGCCACATGTACCTGACTTTTTTATTATTATTATTTCCAGTTTTTACATTTAAACCTGGATTTTTTGCATATAATTAACCTACACAATTTTTCAGGAAGTAAAGGATTCTTTTGTAAAAAAATAGCATTTCTGTAAGAAAACTATGTGTTCACCAATAAATTTACATTCAATATATATATATATATATTTTTTTCATTTAAATGAGAAAATAAATATATATATATATATTAGATTAATAACATTACTAGCGGTTACCAAGAAGTCTTTTAAAGGAAAGAAACTTTAGATTTATTTTTAAAATATTTCCTTTTTTCCCAAAATCTCTGTACCTGTTATTTTTAAGAATTTATCATTCTTTACCACCGATGTAAGCCAGATTCCTTGTGGCATGAAATGAAAGAAAAAAGAAACCTGATACAAGGGTTAAGCTGGAATTTAATGTCTAAAAAGTTGCATGCAAATAAATCCCTTACACCTATCAGCTGAATTCACAGAAAGAAAAAAATGCAGATTTTTGTTCAGCGTTTACTGTAACATATATGCATTAATATACAAGCCCAAAACACTAGTTAACTCCAACAATATGATAAATTTATTTCTTTGATCAAAATGTATTATCTACTGCATTTTTTTATTTAAAAGTTCATTTGCATACACATATAATAAAAACTTGCCATTCATTATATCAAAAATTCAGTTTTGTTTATTTCCAGATGTGGTTTACAAGTATTCAAGGATCATCAGAATTTTAATATACCTACAAAACATAAACTAGTATGTAGAATTTTCGTAAATATATTACAATAAATTTCTTTTCTCTGCTTATAGGGGTATGTGAAAGTAAATTATACAAACTGAACTCGGTTCACAGTAGAATTCATGCATAGTCCTTTAATACTGTAAGTTGTCAATCTTTAAGCAAAACAGCATTCTTAATTTTCTTTCATTGTTTGCTATGCAAATTCTTCAGTGACTATAGAAAAGTGCAGTAATATACACGTTACATCTCGCTGTAATAGCAATCATGTCATGATTACACGATTTGGTTATGCTTATGTATGTGACAAAAGTCATTACACAAAAAGTATAAATGCATACGAAAGCAAAGTCCTATGGTCATTGTTATAAAACGAAGAAATAAAATTAAAAAGTCATGGATATTAGACTAATGAACAGAATCAAGAAAGATATTGCTGTTTTTGCAGTTAATGATTATGATACCATATTTAGTCTTTTTGGAAAAGCATAGATTAACAACTATGATTAGACCATGAAACTATCAGTCCTATGAAAGACCTTTACTAGCAGACCATTAGAAGGAAGTTATATCCTTTTCAGGGCACTGGAAAGTCTACATATATAAAGCAACAATCATTTTCAACATCTGTTAAGTTTTGTCGTACACAACTGATTACCCTACAGTCAAACCATAAGCCTTTGTTTATAGAGTAATATAACAAGTATATCTAAGTTTACTTGCACTGTCCATTAAAAGACACATGCGCCCAAAAGTAACTAAATGCTACATACCTTCTAATGGATTCCCACAGTATGATTTTCATAATGTATCCAATGGAATAAAAGAGAAAATATAAAGAGACCCAAGAATAGAGTATGGTAGAATCCACAAATTCTGTCATTCATTCTGAGAAATTTAATGATTATATATATGCCCTGGTCTATAATGAAAATAATATAATGAAGTACCAACTGATCTGGTAGGCCTAAGAAATTAATAAATCAGGACAGGCAAAATGTGATGTATATTATCAGCTTCAAACGCATTTTCAGCAACTACTCAAAATGACTGATTTCATTTCAGCAACAAAAGCATGATTTTCAGTTCTGCTGCAACTCATAAGGTTCACTGTTTGAGGAGCCTGTGAAGCAGTGAGTCAGTAGTCAAAAATGAAATTTGAAAGTAATCATATAAATGCATAGTAAAAAAAAATTTTTTTCCCCTGATTTGGACTACCTACAAAGACATTTTAGATAATATGCTCCATGCACTACTTCAGTTTGGGATAGTTTCCCCCTTTATTTCAGGATGATAATACATCTCCTGTTTTGTGGTTTGAAGGCACGTAACAAGCAGAGCTTACGTGGGCAGTCTTAATCTTGATCTCACAAATATCTTTGAGGTGTTGCACTGGCTATGCAACTGTTCCAGCATACCTATAAAAGTAACATGAAAGTATTTTCACAGCAATTTATCAGAACTTAGTGGAAAACATAGCCTAAAGAAACTGCTAATAACTGCAAAAGAAGTTCTGACATCAGCAATGGCTGTTAGGTGACTTCTGGCTACACAGTGAATTTATGTCATATGTGAAAAATCATGAAAAGGTATTAGCTTGCTTTATCAGAAATGAGATGAAATTACTAGTCAATGTTTTACACATTTGACCACTCACACAGACATTGCCATTAGGGGGGAGGAAAGAAAACCACTCACTAAAATATTATTTTGTACATCAGAAGCATACTGGAACTATGGAACAGAAACAAATACTATACAATCATTTAACAGTAACACAAAGCATCATACCTAAATGGAAATCAAATTTGACTTACTTGCATCATGAACACCATTTCAAAAAGCATAGGAGCTAATATTCTTGTTGTGTAAAATCCTGGTCCATCCTTGACAATTATAACAATTTTTCCTTGATCTAGGCCCACCTGAACAGCAGCTGCTGCAGTATCCTTTGAAGTTTTATCAGTTGTTATAACTTCTAACAGTTGCATTTTATCAACAGGAGAAAAATAATGCATTCCAACTACCTAAATTGAGCAATTAATATATAAAAGAAATTTATTAAACAGAACTTTTTCCCACAAATATCTGATAAATGTTATAACAACTTTAAAACTATTCATAGATTCAAATTAAATTCACTAGCAGTATATCTCAAAATTTTTAATACAGCTAAAGGAAATACAAATGTCTTTTAAAACGAAACTTGCATGAAAACTTCCATTATAAAATGCAAATGTTTCTACATTGTCTTTTGAAATAAATATTTTTATTTTATCATTCATTAGAATGCTCTAAAATTTTTTTAAGCTTGAACATCAGGATGGGCAGGAAAATTCACTCACTTTTTCAGGTCGCTTACTGGCATCACTAATCTTGTGAATAGGCAATGCAGATGTATTTGATGCTATGATACAATGGCTGGGTACATGTTGCTCCACTTCTTTAATGACTTTGTGCTTAATATTTAAATCTTCAAACACAGCTTCAATGACAATGTCCACATCCTTAAATTTTTCATAATTTAATGCAGGATTCAGTCTTGACATAAAAACATTTCTCTCGTGTCTAAAAGTCATAGCACAAATAGAATAAATTAGATTTTCAATCATTATTACTAAAGACACAAGTTCTCTACAAGGAAAAGCAAAAAAAATAATACACATAACTTCAAAGTGTTAAATTTCAATGCCTTCAGTAAAAACACAATGTAGTTTTATGAGCATCTAATTTAATATCTTAAGCAAATGTGCATAAAACTACAATATTTCACCTTGGATATTGTATTTTCCAAAATAATTACTAGTTAAAAAATAGGATTAGGCACAAATCATCACATTAGTCCTCCTTTTGCCAATATTATGAGGGTCAATAAGGGGAAAAAGTTACACTTTTAGGTAAGGATAATGCATCAGCAAGAAGGTCACTTATTTATGTGACAAAAGAAGAGGATACATTTTTTTGTTTAAATCACTGTTATGATTCATATATTTGCTGGACCGTACAAACAGGATGTTTATAACCAAAGCTCCCTCATTGAGGCCTGCCTACAATTGTAACCATTTGCCAAAAAATTGTTGAACTTCATGTATGATGTAACAATGAGGCGAGATGGACATTTAGCAAAAAAAAAAAAAAAGTTTCAAATGTCATCACTAGAGGGTATTTTCTGCATACAACTCAACTTTCATACTTCCCAATTCTCAAATATGGTTTGAAAGGGGAATATAGCCCATGCTAATAATCATTGGAAGGTTTTGATGAACAAATTCAAAGCTTTTATGCAAATTCTCTATAATAAAATGGACCTGTAAAGCCAACTATCATCAAAATAATGAAAACTATGATAATTTTAACCTGCATACAGAAAGAGCAGGGTTTGTACTGAAATTAAAGGGAAAAAATCTTCAACCATGATTTTCATATAGACAGTAGTAGCAGACCAGCTGGATAAATCCACTCAAATTGAGGGAGTCCATAAGTGGAAGGTTAAAAAATTATGCATTTTAGCAATAAGATTTTTGACTTGTACTATTCTGATGACAGTAAAACATGCTCCATGATTTTTAAGCACCAAATGAAATGCCAAGATGGCATATTCCACAGCTGATAGAAATATGTGTCACAAAATGCTGTCTTAAAATCAGGTAATGTGCTCGGGTTGTGACAGCAAATTAGTTGTTTTAAATTCACCACACATCACATGGCTTTAAATCTAGGAACCAGGTAGGTCGTGAAAGTGCCAGCTGATGACCTGTTCTCCAATAAAATGTCTTTTGAGAACATCCTTAACACGTTGTGTAATGCATGGACAAACTTCATCTTGCAAAGAGATAGTGGTGCAAGATAACTATGTGCTTTTAAAGCCAGAACAATTGCATTCTCTAACAGTGTTACATATTGCTGCCAGGTGATTAACAATGTCATTGGACCTGTTTCAATTATCTCCTCGAAAAAAATATGGCTCCCAGAATAAACCAACATGAGATCACTTTTGAAAAATACGACAGAACATCTAGGATCCAGTACAAATTTTGTGAATTACACATTTGAGAATCATGTATGTTCATTAAACCCTCCTAATGCACATAGATGCACTTTTTCTGTGCAGAGGATGTTCCAAATTGATCTTACAATGAAAAAGAGACTATTGTGAGAAATAAAGTCATGTATTAAAAGCATGTGAAAGAAACTTCTGCACAAGAGAAATTTTGTACATACAATACTGAAGAGTATTCTTCAGGATTTCATAGACAGCTGAATGATGCCTATCAAATACCTGAACTACATGGTGAAGTACTAGCCTTAAAGTTTGAAGCTGTGTGCGCCTCTGCTTGAAACCATAACCTCCTCTGCTACTACTGTAAAAACACGATGTCTCCCTCTTCCAAGGCAAACAGCCAGTGATATGTCGCTTCAAATTTCATTATAATTTTTCAGACTTTCATTAGTGACCTGAACTGGAGTTTTGATGTAAGAATTAAACAAGTAATCCATGAATGCTTGCAGGTTTTATATGATAGGTGGCACTGAAAAAATTTTCATGCGCACTATGGGTGCTTCACAGTAATACAACCTCTAATGGCAATATCTGGGGGGCTGAATGTCTCTCCCATTTTTTTATTATGTCATATACCATGTTTTGCACTTTTTTAATAAGTGATTTTAGATTAGGCAGCCCTCATTAGAACTTTAAATATGGACAGCCTGTACTTACCTTGTATACCTGACTTCAAAATTCATTTACTGCTGATCACTTCAATGTTGCCTTGCATTATTAGGTGCTGCAAAATATTGGCAATATGCAGCTTGGTATTGCTGTAGGAGACAATGACTCCTGGTCATTTTTATTAATTGGCCTTACAGAATATTTGTCAGTACAGTATCCATCAGATCTGATGATATGTGCAACGCCCTTGACCACCAAAATCACATCTAAAGAACTGATAAATTTTTTCAGCAGATGGCAACACATTAAGCTTCTTTCTTGGAGGTGCAGCAGCATATTTCCAGTGTTGGACTAGAAAAAATAGGAAGACCTATCCTTCCACAATGCAATCAAGAAAACCCTGCCTGTCTTTAGCATAAAGCAGTAGTACCATCATTCAGTCTACTATCAAAGTGGTTTTGTGATAAACAGCACTTTTATCACATAGCACCCATTTCTATAAAACCTTGGAGTAACACAAAAAATCCGAGACAACGAACACCACTGCTTAATATCAGCTTGAATGCAGTACAGTACAAAGTTAACATTTCAACCTCTTTAACAATTAATGAAGTATTAACCACTACTGTCCATGAAGAGACATTCATAGTTTGTGTAATACTGATTTCCTGCTTCATGTCAAAATGTAATGTACAGTTTTGTTTAACGATACTTGGATATCTCTGTCAACATGAACTTCAAAATGCTTCCGATTGATTTTTGACTATGGGCATACTTTTGGCTAAAGAAAACTTACTCTTGCTTCAATCAAAAAACTACAATTTAAAACACACTACCATTTTGAAATGTCATTGTGTATCTTTTCCCAGCCACAGCATTTCACACAGCTGTCAGCAACATAAGCTCTATCTCCCAAACATAAGAGCTTTTAATGCCACTTGTATGAGAATGCATATTTGCTTTATAACTTAAGCACACTTTTATTTTGATTGGTCACACAATGTGATTACTTATGTTATTTAAAGAAAGTTTTTTCTTTCTGTGTCTATAGCCTGTGTCTCAAAAATACCTTCATGCCAAAAAGATTTCACTAATCATTTACTGATAATCATCACTAATCATTACATTTAATGTTTTTTAACTTCAAGCATTCTATAGTAAATAAATAGCCCACCATTCCCCTTTTTATAGTGCTTTTAGATGGTGTTGCTGACACACAGTTTTGACATGTGCTGCAATCATCTGAAAGTTAAATCGAGATCTATATAGTGCAAATTTCAAACCTATTTATAAGATGCTTCCTTCATAATGCAATTTGCATGGCCAGCAGTGTATATGTGAAGTACCAACATACATGCTTCCAATGTATGCAAGAAAATCCAGGTTTAAATTTTAAACATCATTCATATTGGTTAATTTCCTTTCCTACACGAGTTCCCTAGTTGCCTTGAAGTTCTAACAGGATATTTAAAATTTATTGTTTTTTTGTAAAATAACAATACAATAAATAAAGTGAAATAAGTCTATAAAATTCAGTTTAAATGTTTATATACAACTACTGTGGAGCTAAAAATGATCTGACTGCATCTTATACAGCCTCAAAGCTTCACATCATCAATGAAGGATTATATGCAACTAAATTTTATTATCCCCACCCAAAAAAGAAAACAAAGAAAGGAAAGGAAAAGGGGGAGGACAGACTAATCAAAATTTCAATAAATATAAATAGTCCACACTAGTCAAACATCCATTACTTTACTATGAAAACTTATTCACAAAATTCATGACAACCAATATTTAATAAATGATAAGTTCAAAAATGTATATAAAACTAAAAAGACAAATTTTGAATAAAAGTACATAAAACAAACATGGCTAAACAATTTCTCACAAGCCACATATGGGTCTTTGGCACTTTATAAATGCAGTTCATGTCATAATAAACAACGGTTTTATTTGTGAAATAGCTTTCCAACTTAGAACAAAAATCATACTGACACACTTTTTAACAAACAAAAATTTCAGGTTTTAAATTATATGCACACTAATTTTACACAATTTGAAACTAATACAATTTCTCAGACTTACTGTTGTGGCAATACTAATTTTAGAATAAATAAGGGCTTGCAGAATAGAAGAAAATAATAATAACATCAGGAACATTATGCATTGATGATGTACTTTAAATCTTATTGAATGACACTATAAATGTTTAGTTATAACTTGAATTAAAAGCAAAATGACAGTTAATTGTCAACAATTTTAGAATATCAAAGGGCAATTTCTCAACAAAGCACTTTTTCTTGTTCTACTTGTTACAGAGTTACTCATAAGTGTTAAGAAAAATGGCTGGTTCTTTTTATTTATTTATTTCCAAATCATTGCAACAATTTGCAGTAAAATGAGATTAAGACTTGGTTTAACTTACTGTAATGACTGCTATGCCTTCTATTTTCAATTTACTCCTTTGAAAACCAGTTAACAATTGCAATCAAGAATGAATAAAATTAGGTGTGTATTTAATTATGGCAAATCACATTAGGGCTATCTGCCTAACATATGGGGAAAACCACGAAAACGCCCATGCAGCCAGCCCGTTCGCAGGATTCGAACCTCGGACCGAACTACGAGTGTTCAGCGACTTTACCGCTCGGATGCTGGTAGGCCCAGAATAAAATTCGGAAACCAAGAGAAAGTACTTGGTTTTCCAACTAAAGGAAGAATGTTAAATATATTGGGAAAAAGATTTAGATTTCCATATCATGGAAGCATACTTTTCTAAATACAAAGAAAGAGCAACCATAGGTATTTCTTTTACAGTTATAAAAAATAATCACATTAATTATAAAAAGCAAGACTATTTTTAAATAATTTTAAAAGCATTTTGAATAGCAAGATAAGTGTTTGTTTGTTTTTTTATTCAAAATATTTTATGGCTTTTAAAATAATACATCTAGTTGCAACTGTTCAATTTCCTTGAGTTTTAACATAAGCATTCGTATCAAAGGCAGGCCACAATTCACTGGTTGGCCACTGGAAGGCAAAAATTAATTTTCAAAAACTTACAAAGTTATTCTTTTCCTCTTGACTGCTGTATCTAGGCCTTTGTATATTTGATTCTGACCCTTTGCAAGGCTTTCTGGGCTAACATCTTTCAATATCACATCAAAAGTTTTGTCAATACTAACTTGAGCTATACCAGCTCCCATCAACCCAGCACCTAAAACTGCAACAGTCCTATAATAATAATACAATTATTAATTAGTATACCACAAGTAAACTTGTTGAATGAGATTTTAATAATAAGATCTATAATCTATACTTAACAAAATTACATGAAATATTTTTAAAATATAGCGAAACTTTATTTTTTAGAAATTAATAATAAAAAAATGACAAACATTTTATCTCACAAAAGTCTTGGTATACTTCAAAAAAATCTTGACATATTAATAAATATTTTCATATTTTGTTAAAATAATATTTAGTAGGATATCCTTTAGCATCCACAACAACTTTTAAACGTCTGGGAATAGATTTTATTAGTGGTTTTTTTTTTTTTGCAATTTCTGTATCAATGTTCATCCATTCTTCCATCATGATTGTTCTGAGTTCGCTTTTCGTTTTGATGTTGTGTTTTCATACTTTACCCTCCAGTTCTTTCCAAAAGTGTTCTATGGGGTTTAAATATGGCGACTGAGGTGGTGTTTTCAAAACCTGTGGACAATTATAGAGACATCACAGGCAAACGCTGAGAGCTGTATGCTTAGGATCGTTATCATGATTAAAAATAAAGTTGTTTCCAATACCCAAATTTTGGGCTGATTATTTTAAATTGCCTCTTAAAATATTTAAATAAAGAGAATGATTCATTATGCCATCAATAAATACCAAATTACCTAGTCCTGATGCTGCAATGCACCCCTACACAAGAACACCTCCACCGTTATGCTTAAGTGTTCCAACTAAGTTCTTAGAAAGAAGTTCCTCATTTTTTCTTCTCCATACAGTTATTCGACCATCAGAACCAAAAATGTTAATTTTATTTTCGTCAGCAAATAGGACATTATTCCAGTACGTTTCGGGTGTATTTATCATTGATTTGACGAATGAAAGTCTAAGCTTTCTGCTTTTCTCACTAAGAAAACAATTTTACGGGCAGAACACCCATGTAATCCAGCTTCTCTGAGAACTCGTCGAACAGTTTCAGGTGAAACTGAAGTAGAAAACTTTGCATTAAATTCTGCAGAAACTTTTACAGCACTCAAACGTAGGTTTTTCACAAATTTTCTAATAATAAATCTCTCATCACGTTTAGTTAACTTTCTCAGTCAAACTTTTCTTACCTTGTTTTCAATTCGATTTTCTGCTTTAAAGCATTTTATCACATACTGCACTGTGGAATGAGATAAATTAACTAATTTAGCAATATTCCGAATTGATTTACCACTACTATGGCAAAAAATTATCAATTTTCAAATGCTGTTTATAATTTCTTTACAACTGCAAGCCATTATTCAATAATAAATAGAATATTATAAAGTAAACAATAAAAAATTAAAGCAAACGATTTTTTAAATGCCACCACAATGCAAAAAAGCGACAAGCGATAATTCTAATTTTGATTTTATCCAAAAATATTTTAGTATACGAAGACTTTTGAGAGATATAATGTTTGTCATTTTTTGATTATTAATTTTTTTAAAATAAAGTTTCGCTATATTTTAAAAATACTTCATGTAATTTTGTTACGAATAAGTTATAGATCTTATTATTAAAATCTAATTCACAAAGTTTACTTTTAATTAATGGATATTTCAATCAAAATCAGAAGTGTACAAACACTTTTGGGGGCCACTGTATATACACCAAAAAATGAAATAACTTAAATTGGTACCTTTCCGTTTTGCCGGCGCAAATGATAAAGTCACCAATAATGGTACAACTGATGCCAAATGGAATATCTTCGCTGGTAACCTTTTACGCCTCATTTTCAAAACAAGTCGGAACCATTTCTTATCAGATTGATTGTTTCATTCAATACTGGCATACAATTACATAGAATTTTTACAAGATAGTTAAATTTTATGCCCTACAATGATTCGATGTAATTAAGTCAATTAGAATGCAATCAGACCACTCACGCGAAAGCGAAAAATATACAAAAGGCAAAATCAAGAGTTAAATTCATCAATTCTAATGAGAATACACTAGCAGAGTAAAGCACTACGGTTTTACATAATTTCTGAGTAAGCTATTCGTACGAATTGAAATAATTCTTGCATTTAAACTTGTATTCCAAATTAAAATTTAACTTGAAATTAATATAGATAATTACACAGAGAAATATATTTTTGTAGCATAGTTTACGTGAGATGGTCACTTGGGGTCATGTGATATGAACCGACAAATCAGGATGTTGAACCATGAAAGCATAGTAAATTCTTAAATTAATGTCTTTTTACAAATTTATTGTCTTTATTTACTGGAATTTTACAAACTTTTAAACCATATTAAAATGTTTATGCCTTCTGAATAAAAATTTCTAAGAAATAACATTCGTTAACATTTTTTATGTGTATACTGTATGTTGTCGCCAACAAAGTCTGCTTGGAGAGATTTGCGCTGGCGAAATGGAAAAGTACCCCTAAATTCTATGTTAAGAGCATCATATGTAACACCACAAATGTTTAAAACTAAAGATAACAATAAAAAGTAATGAAATGAACAAGACTGTTTTAAATTTTCAGTGAGAGTAATTGCTTATAGTAATCAAATGCTATAAACACAAAATTCTACTATCATGCATTAGAATTGTGTTAAACAGAACAGAACATGTAAATAAAGTGAATGGGAACAACTCACAAAAGGAAACATCTTTAATGTTATATACAAATTTTGGCTAAATTTACGGTTGTAGACTTGAAAGGGGTCACAGGTGTTAATCATATCTGAAAGACGTTAAAGGCCAGATGGGGCAAGTGACTGTTAGAATATCTCATAGTGAACTGTAATCCATCAAAAGTCCAGAAAATATTTTCTAAAGCTTCATCTAAAAAATCTGGAACTGCTAGTCATCTTACTTGTCAAGAATTGTCTGTCACAGCCAATGCTGAATTCAAATAAACATCTCTGATAGAGTATTGTTAAATATAGATCTTACTGAGAGTGTTACTAATGCCTACAGCGTTCTCCTGAACTTGTATTACATTTTAAAAAAACTAAGATAAATAATGACAACCCAAAATCCCAAAATGGAATTTTGAGTTTCTAACATATGTAAGGTCATGATTTTGTATAATCTGCAAAAATTTTCAAAATAACTATTGAATTAATTAAGTTTTATGATTCCAGGAGACATCCCTATATAATGGCTGACAAAATAAATTGTGCAGCGCGGCAATAGCATGCATTTGCGATGGCTCTGTTTTCAGATTCAAAAACTTACCACCAAGAATTCCTAATTTTGCTGTGGATAGTGACAAAAGATACTAACTGTCTATGATTATCATCTTATTTTTTAAAAAATTATGCTGGTTGTTTTGAAAATACTGTATTTTTTAAATTAAAAAGATATCATAACAATTAAAAATTTATCTACTTTATTTAAAAAGAAATATTTAAATTTATCTTAGTACAAATACTGCTATAATTAGCATACCCATGCCCAAGAAATTACAAGTTTTATTAATGCTGAAGATATGGTTAGTAAACTGTTGCTTGGTAGCAGAGACCTATAACTCATTACTAATATTTTGAAGTTTCAGACTATAATTTTAAACCTATCTAAAAGAATATAATTAAAGCTGATTCATGTATGTTCTGAAAAAAGAAAAATGAAAATAAATTTTATGATTCAAATAATTTTAAAATTTAAAACACAAAAAGATGAAATAATAAAGTTATAAAACGAATTTATATCTCAAACAATAACTGAGAGTTAAAAACTCAAGAACAAATAAAATTAAAAACATTCTCACATAATCTTAATTTAGCTGTGCTTTAAGAGACATGCTGTACTTTAAAATTTCAATTTAGAAATTTCTAACCTAGAAATTCTTTAGTGAAACTCTTCAACTTAAGATGAAACAATAAGAACTGTCATAAAATATTTTATTTATTAATTTTAATGACAACATTTCTAACTGCATTACTATATTTTACACACTGTACAGTCAAAATTATAGTCACTACTGAAACAAAATTAGGTACATACAGTACAACTAATGGTAATGGTTCATAATACTTAAGTTTCTGGCTGGTATTATGCAGTAATGTATCAAGAGATTGTTGTATAAAACTATTTTTATAAACAAATCGATGAATCCTCACTCGTCGAAAAACTTTAAAAGTAGCTACCAGTTGGCGAGTCAACAATAGAGCTTCGGTGTCTTCATCTATGCTTGCAAATTGGTTTTGCAACTGTTTTGTGCCTGATATAGAAAGATATTTATTAATCTTGAATTGCATTAAATACTGTATCTTCATCTATAAGCGATCTTAAAAGCTTTGACACTGAATGCAAGTTGGTAAGCTCTTTTACCAGATATGGTTTATGAAGACTCCAATATTCCAAGTAAACACTTCATATACAATCAGATAATTAATGCTCTATGTTTAGTATGCAGTACAGGGTTTGATGATATGTCTGCTGAACACATTGATGAACTATTTTTAGAAAAAACACTGGATGAAGATGATCTTGTAAAGCTTCTAGAAGAATCCAATTCAAATTCAGTGGCTAAAGAGGATAAAGAAAATTATGCAAACGTATCTAAATTTTTTTGTTGATGATGTACAATATGCATCACATTTGGCAAACAAATTGGAGAGATTCTTAACAGAAAGGAATCCTTGCAAGGTACAGAAAACAACATTTGCAGCACAACTGTATTAACCCATAGAGAAATTGCAAGATAGGAATGAACCATCATGTAGTACCGCTAGATATTCAGATGAAGACTAATCGAGCAATGTAATATTCGGCCATCTACAAGAAAATATACTAGAATCACTACATTTCTAGATAAATCCACTAGATGGCATGGTAATGTAATTTTAATTCAAAAAAGAGATGCATTTAAAAATATTTTTGTTTTATTTTTCTTTTACTTAAATAATAAAAACTTATGATAAAATGTTTTTTCAAAACTAATTAAAAAATTATTTTGAATTATGAAAGACAAGATTTCTTAGAAGTATTTACCAATATGCAGAGCTGTGCCAAGATTTTTTTTTTACCTGAGGCAAAAAGGTAAATGCATGCCCTTATATAGATAGATAGATAGATAGATAGATCTACATATATCAAAATATCTGTTTGTATTAAACAAAGGTAACTGTATTAAATCAAAATATCATAATTCTTAGAGTATTTTTTAATTGTAGCTTTATAAATTCAGAAAAAGAATACATCTAATTATTTATAACTTTCAAATCAAAATGTTAAAAAATTCTTATTTGATAAATAAGAAATAACATCAAAATACACATTGCAATAATTTCAAGGTTTTCTTGCAATTCTTCCTATTATTTTATTAAGTTTGCTGAAGCTTATTTCCCCTAATAATAACTGGCAAATTTAAAAACATAATTAAAGTAATTTTTGATTTCGTACAGCCAATTTAGTGCCCCCTCTAGTGATTCACCTGAGGCAAGTGCCTCACTTTCCTTACCCTTGTCCCGCCTCTGCCTATATGAATTTTAAAAATAAAACTTTTTAGTTTTACATTTAACAAAAAAAATTTTTAAATGCAACTTTTTTTTATTTTCACATTTGAAACGGAATCCTGTTTTCTGTATTCTCAACCAGCATGGCTTCTCAGAACACAGAACCAATTAACTGTGTTCTTCAGGGTTTACCTGTACAAAATGTTCTGTCGAAATTTACAATCGAGTTACAAACAGTTAACACAGGTATAAAAATGATGAGTTTAACATAAGTGCTAGAACTAACTGAATGTAGTTTACAAATTACTTCATACTTTATTTTTTGAGTAGGATCACCAAAGCGATTCTTCTTGCATAATGTTTGCCCGTGGTATAAACCAATGAGAGCATTTGAGTGTGTTGTCATTCCTAAAGTACCAAATCCATCACTTTCGGCAGCATAGCCAGCTACTAACCCCTTTTCAATACCTGTTCTAACTACCTGAAAGTAAATAAATAAAATACAAATATATATTAAAGCTCTAAACATTAAAAGTACTTAGCATATTTCAGGTTCAACTCAGCATGCTCTTAGTTTCATGCTGTAAGAGATTTTCATTCATGAATCAGAAGGATAACAATAAGGGTAATTTTACACCACTGCTGAAGGAATATGTGAAGATAAAAATGGGACGATGACAGTTCATCACAATCCTGAGTTTCAAGAATAGTTTTAAGGTATTCCCTTGTGCAAATCATAAGCTAGGCCTTAAACAGCAGGGCTCACTATACAGTCAAAAGTCATTAATCCGGACTCGTCGGGACTTCCGACGATTCCGGATTATAGATCATCAGTTTAAATCCCGTAAGATGGCATGCAGAAATTATAAAATTAAAAATATGAAACCATACTTTATAAAATAAGAACAATTATGATCTAAAAGGTATCAAAATTTACAAAATAAAAAGCTTAATATTTATTTGTTTACTTTATTAAACATTTCTTTCAACGCGCAAATGCTTAAAGCATATATTACGCATAGTCGAAATTAGAAAATTGCAACCAAAAAACTAGTTGATGTGCACTCGTGATATTTATAATGACAAGAAATTTGATTTAAATCATATCAAAGACGGAATATATCAAGATGAAATACTACATTTAGTAAGGAATTATAAGCTGAATAAAATAAAAACATCTGCCCTGAAGATAAGGATAGTGCTGACAGATCAACTTCCAGTTCATTGTGCGCCATGTCGTTGCGCATGCGTCGCATTTCTGCGCATTGACGCATGCGCAGAAAGTTTTTAGCTTTGAGGTCCGGATTATGGGTGTCCAAATTAACGACTTTTGACTGTACAGTGGTAAATATATAATTAATGAATATTATACATAATGAATTTTTACAACTGACTGAAAACTTTAGACTATTCTACTTGTAGACTTTTCCCCCATCCATTTTATTGTTATTCTTCAAAACGATTTAAGATTAATGTAGAAAAGCAGATCTAGATTTCATGTTTATGAAATGATTTTGCTGCTCAATGCATATACAGAAAACAACTTGTGACATTAACCTGCTGCTCGGTTTTTACTTTTCTAAAAAATATAACAACCAATCCATACAATTAATTCCTTAAAATTTCATACACCTTACAGTAATTTAAACCTGAGTTGGAATTATATGATTTTTCCACATTCAAGCCAACATACACCTGTTTACTGGTTTATGGAAGGAAAATTGAAAATAGGGAAAATAACTCATTACATTTGTTAATTCAAAAGATTCAAATATATAGATTTGATTCGGTCAAATGAAAGGTTACGATGCTGAAAATTCTCCCATAAGGATACAGAAAGCCCATTATTTTTAAATATAACCTTGATCTTGTCAGATATTACAGTACAGAAAGATTTATAAACTACATGATAAGGAAAGGCCATACAAAATACCACATTATATAGCATTCAATCTCCTCTATTTGGATGATAGGTGAGCTTAATGAGTGAAATGTTTGTAAAAATGGCACTACACCTGCTAATTGTTTACAGAAAACAGAATGTAGTCTTATCTGTTCCATCAGATAAAGCCAAATGGCATTTACAAGCGGATGCTTGCTACATTTGAAGAAAAACTGTTTCAAAACTCGATGCCCGAAAGAGAAATGCAAGTTATCTTCAAAGCTATTTTGGATGATGCAAGATCATATAAATCAAACATAATCATTGTACTTGAACTTAAAGGACAATTGGATGAATGCTTGAAAGCAGACCAAATCTTTCTTGCAACAGAAATTCAATGCAAATTCACAGTAGAAGATATTCAATTATGTACAAGTTGGAAAACAGGAAAGTGTAAGCCCAAAAAAAGGGAGGCTTTGAACTGCAGCATTTGCTAAGAAATAACAGAAAATGAAAAACAATTTTTAATTTTGCAGTTCGTAGCTATACATATCTATTTAGCTTATTAAAAAATTATTATCTATTAGCTATATTAAAAAAGCTTAATATTTATTTGTTTGCTTTATTTAACATTTCTTTCAATGTAAGTTGTTTAAGTTGCTTCCATAAAAAACTCAAAAAATTCCTTTTATGTCATATACATATACAGTTGACTTTCCAATGCCATACTCCTCACATAATTTTGAGACATAATTTGAGACTTTACCCATTTTTTGCAGCAATCGCACTTTTTAGATAATGGACATCAAAGCATGGTTTCGCTTTCTAGATCCTTTGGCAGCTCCAGAACTGGAAACTCTTTTTGATATAATCAAAAGTTTAAGCTTAATTTCTTATAAAATTGCTGTAATAATAACAGCCTGCAAAAAATAATAAGTTGGATCAAATTAGAAGATTAAGGAGCAGTGCAGTCTGCTACATTAACTGAAATGCTTTAGAATCAGTAAAGATAATTTTAGCCTAGCTTAATAGCGTCTGTTATACATTATTGGCTGTGTATCACATAATTGGCGACGAAAGCCAAGTTGTTCCGCTAAATTTTGTCTTGCTCTTATTGCATACTGAATTAAGCCTGAATTGTATTGGTTATTTTCTATATCTACGTTTATTTCTTGCACATGCTTAAAACTAATCTGCATCCTAAATAAATAAACTCCCACATATACTTAAGGCTTTATCGAGGGCCGACGCTAGATAACGCCTGGTGCAGTCTCTAAATTTTGCTACAAAGCATTTTCCTAATTTCTAAATTTTTGCTGTGTCTAAACTTTGGATCCCATAGCTTCCACACCCCCCCCCAAATTATAAAAAACTTCTCATCCTATAATTTTGCCACTTGTTGCTTCCCCAAATTCCAAAAATTGTGTCTTCCCTAAATTCTTCCCACTTCTGGGTTTATGGTGAATAACATATCAGTTATTCTTAGTTAAAATAGCACTTAATGTAATCTTTTGGCCTATGAGTTTCATTAACAAAATCTATTTTTAGCATATGAAAAGAAATTTTTGTTGAATTTTTCCTCATCAACATTTCTTAGAGCATTTAAAAAATCTATAATCATAGCTAAGCGTAATGTTAGCAGAAAAGGTTGTCTTACTTTTGTTGCTCAATTACTAATATAAAAAAAGTTTAAACATCACTGCATGAGTTATTACTGAAGCTGTAATGTATCGATAAGCATGCGGTGTTGAAAGCAAAATATAATAAATAATGACTCACCAGGTTGGCATCAGGGATATAAAATAGATGAATGTTTCTGTTTGAGATGTAATGCCAAGCAGACACTCAGCTGCGGATCCAAATTATTAATCTCACAAATCTATGCTTACATGATAGTTTTTACATAACGATGTATTTTATTTAGTGCCTAAGTGAAATTAAGAAATGGAATTTTTAAGCAAAAATCTCCACACGGTTTATTATGGAAAGAAAAATCAAATGCGCATGCGTAAAGTATACCAAAAAAAAAGTTTGTGTCTTTAAGGTCCGAATTTTAGATCATTCCGGATAATGGACATCCGGATTCCAGACTTTGTACTGTAATACTCATAGGCCAAAAGATTACATTTACTGCTATTCGAATTAAGAATAACCAATTTGTTTTTCACATAAACCAAAGCCGGTGCCAGAACTTAGAGAAGACGAATTTGTGGAATTTAGAGAAGCACTGAGCAACAAAAAGGATGAAAATAGTTTTAGAATTTAGGGAATGCACAGGGATCCAAAATTTAAAACTTAGGGAGGTGCTTGGTAGCAGAATTTAGGACCCCCAGAGACTGCATCAGGTGGTAAGATATCGAGTACTGGCCCTCGATAAGCCTTAAGTATATGTGGGAATTTATTTATTCAGGATTCAGATATGCCTCAAGCATGAGCAAGAATGAGACCTAAGTATAATAAATAATTAAACTACAAAAATCAGGCTTAATTGTCTCTGCGCGATAGAAGCAAGACAAAATTTAACAAACTTGTCTTTCGTCATCTATCTTAAGATACATAGCCAATAATGTATAACGGATGCTTATTAAGCAAATCTAAAATTATATTTTACTGATTCCAAGGAATTTCAGCCAATATAGCACATTAGGCTGTTCCTTAACTTTCTGATTTGATACAGCTTAATTATTTTTTGCAGGCTATTTTTGTTACAGCAATTTGATGAAAATCAGAGTTTCAACGTTTGATTGTGGCAAAAAGAGTGTCTGATTCGGGAGCTGCAACAGGATCTACAAAGCAAAAGCATGTTCCAGTGTCCATTAAACAAAATGTGTAATTGTTACAAAAAATGGATAAAGGTATATCCGTCTCAAACTTATGCAAAGAGTATGGCATTGGGAAGTCAACTGTATATGAAATAAGAAAACAGAAAAAGGAACTTTTTGAATTTTTTGTGGATTCCAACATCCCACTCGCAACAAACAGAAAAATTATTCGTTACAGTAAAAGTGAAGATCATGACAAAGTGATAATTGAATGGGTCAGACAGCATCGCTGCAAGGGTGTGCAATTGATGGGTCCCGTGCTAATGGCACAAGCTAAAATATTAAAATATTTCACTAAGAAATTAACTTAAAAACTGAGCGCACATATTTGACTGAGGTTGGTTAAGCAAATTTTAAAATTGCCATGGTATATGGCAATTAAAAATTAAAGGTGAAAACGCTTCAGCTGATACTGAAGCTGCTGAACTACTTGCAGATAAATTCATTGAACTCACTAATAGTGAAAAGTTATCTCCAGAACAAATTTACAATGCTGATGAAACTGGTCTTTTCTGATAATATGTACTGCAAAATACCTTGGCAACCTCTACAGAAAAAAAAGGCTTAAACTGGTGTCAAAGATTCCAAAGTCAGACTAACAATTTCAGCATGCACAAATGCTGCAGGAATGCACAAGTGTAAACTTTTTGTAATCTGAAAAAATGCATAATCTCAAGCATTTAAAGGAAAAAGTTTCCTGTTATATATCATGTAAATAAAAGGACACGGATGACACAAGTGTTAATGAATGATTGGTTTGAAAATCATTTCATACCTGAGGCTCAGCAGAATTTGGTTGGTTTACCTAATCACAAAAAAATTGTCCTGATTGTAGACAACTGTTCAGCTCATACTTCCCTTAAAAGTTTTAGTGAAAGATAATGTATCCGTATTATTCTTTTCTCTAAATTGAACATCAATCATTCAGCCTATGGATATCAGAATATTGAGCATGCTGAAATGCAAAGATGAAGTAGAATTTTTTAAATGCACATTAAATTTCCTGAATAATTGCAAGACTATTCAAGAATTCATGAAATATTTTAGCGTAAAATATGCTTTGTGGAGCATTGCAAGATCATGGGAGGATGTCTCTCCAGATACTTTAAAAAATGCTTGGCATAATTTATGGTGAGGTTGATGAATAGTCGTGAATGTGAAGGTTTTGGGATATCACAAACCAAAGGTTAAATTTTCCAATTAATGGATTTTTTAAAAAAATGTGAAGAGGTAAAAAATGAAGATGATATAACAGAAGTTTTTCATTCAGATAATAATGCCCCAATTATCAATCAATTAACGGATGGCAAAATCTGTAGTATGGTTCTAAATCCAGAAAATACTGCTACCGATAGTGAAGAAAGTGACAGTGAGATTATTGAAAATAAAAAATTTTGATTCACAAGTTAGTCAAAATTCTCGACACAGCAATTACAGGACTTGAACACTGGAACTTTGTAACTGAATAAGAAATTATGTCTGCCTGCAGACTTATAGCATATTTTATATTGCTTATTAGTGGAAAGTGAAAAAACATGAAATTTTTAAAGAAATTTTGCATGCACTGATTTGTTGTGTGTATGCTTAATTCTTGATTTGCCTTTAGTGGTTGCTTGATGAGAGATGTTGAGTAACTGTAGTATAGTGTTGGGAACCTGTAGCACGCAAATATTCTTAGCAATTAAATTAATTCACTTTAGCATAATAATAGCTAATGAATTAATTGCAGGAAGATTTTTGAATCAAGTAAAATCAATGAAAAGTAAGCATACGGATATGCAGAGCAAACACCATTCTTCCCCCTTTTTTAATAAATATTTTAAAAATGTTTCATTATGAAACAACAGAATAATTCTTACCTGAATTTCCTGTATAAATTCCGTATCATCCAAAAGCACTATTTTGCAGTGATAATTGCGTTGTTTTTTCCCAAAACACCAAAACATATTCACTGTCCTCTCTATATATAAAGTCTGCTGTAATGTAAACTCTGCTGTAAATATAAACTATGTTGGACTAACTCTAGCAACGATGGTGCCCTCTGGTGAGCAGCCAGAGAAAGACTTTAGTAAAGGCTAAGTGAAAGTGATTAACCTGTTTGGTTGTATCAGACTCCTGCTCTGTAATATTTTTAAAATTGTAATGTTCGTGTGCAACTTAAACCTGCTAATAAATTATTGTTACACTATCAAGGACTCTTTTATAACCCCATCCAACACGAGAATAAAAAGAGCTACTTTTAACTAATATTACAAGAGAAAATATTAGCACAATAGGTGCATCTTAAACAACTTACATTGAAAGAAATGTTTGTTACTCTTTAGATCATAAATGCTTCATTATTTCATAAATCACGATTTCATGCTTTTAATTTTATAATTTCTACATGCCATCTTACAAGCTTTAAACTGGTGATCTAATATCTGGAAAAATCCCAAATCCGGAATCAGCGATGACCCGACGAGTCCAGTTCTCAGACTTTGTACTGTATTTACATTTGACTGTCTTTTAACAATAAACTTGCTAGGCAGCAGAGAAATGATTATTTGATAGTAAGCCATAGAAATGGCAGTAGAAACATCTGTTAATTATAGCAATGTTACAAATGTTTTGCATTATCACCAGATATTTATTAAAAATAAAATGATATTAATATAAATTATTCAGAACATACACATATGTTCTATATATATACTATATTACTTTTAATTTGCTGAGTTAATTAAGTAATATAGCAATTTAATTCAAAAGATGAATTAGAGATCTTGCAGAACAACAAATGGCACTAACTCTAGGAACTGGCTACTTGCCAGGCCACATGAATAATATAGATTTAATGCTTACAAAATGGGAACACATACTAAGTTATATGGATGAAAAATGGTCCAATAGAACACATAATGTAACACTAAAAGCAACCCCCCCCCCGAAAAAAAAGAATGATTATGCTACTGACTTTTCAAAAACCAAAAATTCAGAAATTGCAGTGAAATTACCATACATGTACAATAACATATATTTTGTAAGTATGCAGAAAATGCTGAATTACTGAACTCACATCCAAAATCTTTAGAGGTGCAGGATACAGTCCATTTGTTTGTTTCATAACTTGCTGTCGTGCTTTTTTGAATATTTGCTCTCGAACAAAACCAATACTAAGGGCCATTTTAAGCAGTCCTACAAAATAAGTAAATAAATATGCATTCACACAATTTCAAATTAATATGAAAAATTAAATGGTCATCTAAAATTAATATGCCTAAACAACATGTAATAAACTAATAAACATTTAGTCGATGAATTACGTAAGCAGAAAGCAAAAACAAAGAAGTACAGGAAACAGTAAACGGTACTTACATATTATACAATCGACTGTGAAAGTTAGCTACTACTGAGACATGAAAGTTGGCAGAGATCCCACTACAGTAGCATCAATTATTCCAGCAGAATTTTAAAAGAATCTCCTCAGTTAATTAACAATCAATATTTGACTTGCTTCACTTTGTGCTTTATGAAAAAAGCTTTAGTCAATTTTTACTATTTTGTTGTGTCCTCCAGCTTTACTGGAAGCTCTGTTCAGAACGCTATGAGAACAAATTTCCTGCAAGTAGTTGTTCTAATCTGTTTCTGTTTTACTGAGATATTCAGCTGCCTATATCATGCCCATCAATATACACTCTTTTGCCAGTAGGATTGTATAAAAAAATAATCCACTGCTTTCTATTTTGCAGGAGAAAGGTAACAAACTTTAATTCTTCTTTCAAAATGCAGCAGTAATAGTTAACTTATATCCTTGTTCATAAAAACTAAAGGTGGCTTATCAAGAATCAGTTAAGGTAACATCAAATTAAAGTGTAGATGTTATGAGTGTTTTGGGGCATCATGCTTATCTACAATTCGCTCTAAATTGTGCTACTTGGTGACAGTTTCATAGTTGATTAAGTTAATATACAAGTACCTAATAAACTATATGCAAAAAGTATATGATCATTTCTAAGTATATTTACTTACTTAAATAAGTTATTATGTATGTTTTAAAATTTTTAGCTGTCATTTGGCTTTTAATTTTTCTAACAAATTTAAATTATGGATGGCTGCAGTTTTTAACTGAATGCCCTAATCCATACTCAAAAATTGAAAAACTAATACTTAGAGGATCTCTGTTCTATTACTAGATGCATTATTTACATGTGGTTTATGACATTTCCCACAAATTATCGAAACCTAACAAAATGCTTTTGAACAATTTGGCACCTTAGACAATGCCGAATATAATCTGACAACCAATATCGCCAAGGTTGCCAAAAATGATTGATAGCAAACACCTCTGCCACAAGTATACTTTTCCATTAAGACCATAAGCACATATTTCCATGCAATACTGGCATATTTATTTTGCTTTATTCTTTTCCTCAAGCTTTTGGCTTGATAACAGACAAATAAAATTATCATTAACAGCAGTAAGGAGCATTCGCTAATTACCTGACAAAATCCACCAAAAAAATTACCGTCGCTAAAGAACATACCATGCATCTTTATTTATTTATTATGAAGAAGTTTTCATTAATTTCTAGAATTTTATCGCCTTCATGAATTTTAAACTAACCCGAAACTGAACTCTTAGCACTTACCAGTCTTTCATAAGTCAACCACTGGTGGGGTAACAAGGCATCAAGGAAACATGGCAAATTAAAATATGCCACTTAATGTGGCTTTAATGGAAAAGTATAACTATAAGATCAGAGCAGAATATTCTTTTATTCTTAATTAGTGATTATTTCTTGCATGTCACCATCCATAAAATATACCAATGTTAAACTTGTGCGATTTACCAATTTTATTAATTTTATTATTTTCATTTAATTTACTTATTAGTTATGTCTGCTTGGATATTAAAAATGTATGATCCAAGTATTAAGGATGCCATGAGTGCTTAAATCAACAGCATTAATTTGAAATGTAATTTCACCTTATAATATATTGAGTACTGTTACAATGGAAATATTATTTTAATTCATAATCTAAATGTTAATATTCATATAAGAAAACGCAATAAGAGCAAGATTAACTTACTGTCTGTTAGTGATACAGAACGATCAATTTTCATTTTTTTAGCTGCAAGATCAGAAGCAATTTTCACAGCAACTTCTTCTAAATATTCTAAAGTTCTATCACCTGGTGCTTTTAAACCTGGCCCTAGAGACAGAACAAGAAAATATCTGATATTATAGATATAGTTGGAGAAAACAAATTATAGGTAATAAATAAGTTTTTAAATACCTAAAGGTTCAACAACTAGATCAACCAATCCCATCTTTTTTGCTCTATCTGCCTTCAATGTTTTGCCAGTAAGCATCATATCGAGAGCATTAGGTAGGGATATCTAACAAAAGAAAATTTTGCCATTACTTGTATAAGGTTAATGAGATTCTGCAATACATGAATTTTTTCACATAAGCATATAGACCCTAAATCAGGTTGAATAACTTCTATAAAACATCTCAAAATACACTTTTCAGAGTTTTTTTCACACATTTTGTTATTTCCCTGCAATTCCCCCTCCCTGCAACAGTTTTCTGAAAATGCATAATAAACTAGTTATCAAAGTAAGAGGAACTTGATACTTTTATGCAATTACTAAAAAATATGAGAAATAATAGACTGTTGCAAAAGTTTTAATTCATCTTCCTCATTATTGTCAAGCAAACAAAATAAATGTAAGAAAAATGCATTTAAATCACTCAAAAAATTAAGAAGGGCTTTTAAAAACATATAAATTTGGAGAAAAACTAATTATTTCTGCAAAATAAATTTATAACAACAGCACACACGTTTCATAAGAATATAAGTATAATCTTTCATCATCTCCCAATTCCAATGGTGTTTCAAAACAAAATGACAAATAAAGAATTACAAGAGCTTAGAAAACATGTTTAATGAGTATAGTTATTTATTATAAATAACTATAGTCATTTACTATAATATACAGCTGCAAAATGTAGTGATTTCTAAAGTGCATTATTCATTTCCAAACAGCAACTATAGTTCTGCAGAGAAGTGCGATGAAATGGTTAAATTTCTAACTATTTCAGATAGGAGACAAATCAAATGTTTTGTGCAAAAAGATTACAATAACTCTTTACTTGTTTTTTTTTTTTTTTTTTTTTTTTTTTTTTTTTTTAAGTAAGGCAACATTTAGTCGCAGGTTGCTATTTAGAACATGAAACTTGTATTACTTGACAGCATTAATCTGTATGTCTGTCTTAACTTCCCTGACTTATTGGAAAAAGTTTACATTTGACTGATTTTCTTTGACTATTTGTCCTTTCTCTTAACTTTTCCAAATATATGGTCCTTTTTTTAAAAAAATGCATGTGAGCATCATTTAAAACCAGAAAGTCCAGAACCATCAAAAACAACATCATACAAAATCAGAAAGTCTAGAACAAACACTGTTTTTTTTCATTTAAAAGAAAAAGTATGAAACATCCTAATGTACACTACATAAAGATTCTTCACATAAATTAACATAGTATTTAAATAGAGGGCATGTTATGCTTTAAATGTATATCAGTGTTCAAATTTCATATTAACTTGAGCATCGAAACTTTTATGTTTTGCTTCATGACTTAAAACCAGAAAGTCCAAAACCATCAAAAACAACATCAAAACCAGAAAGTCTAGAACAAACACTGTTTTTTAGATTAAAAAAAAAAGTATGAAACATCCTAATGTACACTACATGAAGATTCTTCACATAAATTAATATAGTATTGAAATAGAGAACATGTTATGCTTTAAATACATCTCAGTGTTCAAATTTCATATTAACTTGAGCGTGGAAACTTTTATGTTTTGTTTCATGACTTAAAATCAGAAAGTCCAGAACCATCAAAAACAACATCATACAAAACCAGAAAGTCTAGAACAAACACTGTTTTTTAGTTTTAAAAAAAAAAGTACAAAACATCCTAATGTTACACTACATAAAGATTCTTCACATGAATTAATATAGTATTTAAATAGAGGACATGTTATGCTTTAAATGTATATTGCATCAATAAATGAATTTGCATCAAGCTGTATATTAATTTTTTCAAAAATACATACATTTCACTCTTTAAGTATACTAATCTACTTATATCCTGAGTTTTCTAAATAAATATACTATGCTTTAGAGATTTCAAAAATATGAAAAAAAACTATCAAACAAGTCATATGGCTTAATAATAATAAGAAAGAACTTTACAGAATGGCTAATTTCCCATAGATGTCATTGTGATCAAATTGTTCATAATTTTTGCAGACTGCAGATGCTATATCAAGTCCCAGGTGAATAAAATTAATTATGATGCATACCACATTACTGTAATATTTCCAAACCAGCTCTTGCTATCAATATTTGAGTAAGCCCAAGTACTACAACTCGCTGCAAGATTAATAACATCTGTATAGACAATCTAGTAACCTAGATTGAATAGATTATGACCTACCACTGTTCTCAGTTACTTTTCATCTTGTTTCGGGCAATACTAAATTTAAAACAACATCAGTCAAGAAAAGGCCCCTAATGCTAGAAATGCTCCCAATGAACAGATAGATTGGCAACAATGCATGAAAACATTGAACTTCTTGATACCTTTTTTTAATTCTCTGATTAAATTGAACCAGTTCCTTAAAAACTGATTAATAAAATTCATTTCTGTCATTATTAATATCCTTAACATCTACAGTGTTTTGATACTATAAGAATATATTAATGGCACTGACAGAGAGGCAGTTTACCTTAAAAAGAAGTTTAAATTTGCAAAAAAAAGGGGGGAATGCAGACATGTTTTCTCTTTTGTATAATGCTTGCACCTAAAAAAATTCTTTTCACTAGCTTACCTCATTTTAAGAATGATGATCGGAATACATTTACCAACCAAAATATAAGTTAATTTGATATTTACATTATTATTAATATTTCTGGCTAAGACTATAATATTAATAACTTTTTTGGGCAGAAACCACACACACAGTTTTGAAACTGTGCAGTATATTAATGTACTTAGTTCTCATTAATTTAACAGTCAAATACATACATTAACACTTAAAACAATGAATTTAGCAATACTACTATTAAATTTGTAAAATATAAAAATGACTATTACTAACATACGAGTTAAAATAATAATTGTCTAGAATTAGAGGACCAGCTTCCATTTAAATTCTAATTAATTACTGATTTGATCTCAAAATTTCTAACACAAAAGGATGCATTTGGAACTCACAATTAAGAAATGTAATATACACTAAATATACTTTAAAGTTTTGAACTTTAAAATGCTGAAGTGTTAATCGGTATGTCATGAGTGAAACAAGATAAATAGCTTTAATGACTAATACTTTTACAAATCCCCTCTTAGTTTCAATTTTTTACAGTAAAATTTACATATTACCCAGTTCTTTACACAAAATAACTTTCTCCTGAGCTGCTAGTGATGTGCTGGGTGAGGAATTAAGATATCTGTCCCACTATCCAATGGTTAAATAAAATATGTTTACCAAATTTGCACATGAAAAGAAACTGGTCAGTATTAGCATGCTTTTTATATACAACAAATAATAAGAAACTATGACTTACGAGACGAGGAAGCCGCTGGGTACCACCAGCTCCTGGAAGAAGACCAAGTAACACTTCTGGAAGGCCTAACACTGTTTTTTTATCTTTTACAGCAATTCTGTAATGTGCAGCTAAAGCTACCTGCAACATATAATTTTTACATGAACAACCCATAAATCTTCTCCTTCCTCTAATTTAAATACTGAATATCAGAACACATATTATTCACATTCTTACAAATTGAATGGGGTTAGTTTTTTTTTTTTTTTTTTTTTTTTTTTTTTTTTTTTTTAACTTTATTAACATATTGTATGAATTAACACAATTTCAATACTAGAGTTGTACTTGTTGGATAGTACAAATTGCCACTAATTTTATGAAATACTTACCAATTTCTTCTTCTGCAGTTCATTTCAACCTTACAGTTCCAAAAATTTAATTTGAATTATTAAAACTTGATTTAAAACTACACAACATAATTAAATCAACCATCAGACTGATACAGTATGAATATGTTTAGAGGATACATAAAATAAGAGGAAAGTGATGCATTTCACAGCACATTTTATGATTCCCTGAGTTCCAATTAAAATAACAGCAAGACTGTTGCTTTCCCCTGCTTTCTAGCTTTGGTTGGATTTTTTAACTACATAGAGAATTACAGGAAAACACAGCAAATTACAAGTCAAAATCAAGTTAGAAGAAAAGAAAAACATTGAAATATAAGAGAAAGGAACACATCATATAATGTTAATCTAACCCTATTTTCTTCCATCAGCTGAAAAAATATTTACATACTATTATTTCCGGAAGAAACGCCGCAGCATTTACGTGTTTAAAACTTAAATTTTCAGCGGGTGCGTCATTTAAGTGCACTAAAAATAAAATATTTCCTATGATGGTCATTGTACATAGTTTGAATAACCTTGTCATTGCGCATAGTTTGGATGGCCTTGTCATTGTACATAGACTGGTGCTGTTCGCACACAAAAGACCACTCAGCTGCTTTTTGCGAACGTTATTTTGTTTACATTCTTTCCCTTGAACAGACCTACATGCTTTAGTCACCCTAAATGGGATCTCAAAACAATAACATTCTTCCCCCTTTCAAATCAGCATTCTCATCAGTTTGAATAGTCTCTCTCCTCTGCCATTCGATGAATCTTCCAGGACCCATCCTCTCTCCACCCCTGCTTTTTCTGCAATTTTTGTCAAAGGCGGACACGACCCACCTCCCTCGCAATAAGGAACTCTGTACTCTGTGACGTATTTTCCCTTCAGCATGAATCGATTTTTCTTGGCATTCTGCCAGATACAGATTCCCATCAGTTTGGGTACAAGAACTTGTTGGATAGTTTTTAAGTAAGAAGGAAGTGGAAAATTTTTGAAAATGGCACCTAAACGGCACAAAAGCTATACTGCAGGTTTTAAGCTTAATGTAATTTCACGTACTGAACAAATTGGAAATAGAGAAGCAGCTCGAGAGTTTAAAGTAGACGAGAGATGTATTCGACATTGGAGAACTGAAAAAGAAGAACTTAAAAATATGCCACAACAGAAACGAGCCGAAAGAAGTGGTATTGTAAGGTGGCCGAATCTGAAGGACGACCTTGCAAACTGGATAAAGGAGCAACGAGGAAAGAGAATGGCAATTTCAACTGTAAAAATTCGCTTACAAGCAAAATTTATAGCAAAAAAAATGAACATAAATGATTTCAAAGGAGGGCCTTGCTGGCGTAGCAGATTTATGAAAAGAAAAAATATTTCTGTGCGTACTAGAACAACAGTCGGGCAACAATTACCAACGAACTGGCTGGATAAAAAGGCATCTTTTCTAAAATATGTGACAGATATTATTGACCAAAAACACTTCTTCAGTCACAGATAATAAATATGGATAAAATGCCATTAGCTTTCGACTCTCCTGCAAACATAACTGTTGATGAAACTGATGCAAAAACGGTATGTGTGCTTACGACGTGGCATGAAAGAACGTCATTTACATGTGTGTTAGCATGTGCCACAAACGGTGACAAGCTAAAGCCGATTTTTAAACGAAAAACTATTCCGAAGGGAGATTTTCCTAATGATGTAATTATTTGTGCACACGAGAACAGCTGGATGTGCGAATCAATCATGCAACAGTGGCTACAAAAAGTTTGGCAGTGTTGTAAGGAATCTTTTTTTCCAACCAAAAGGGTTATTGTTAATGGATTCCATGCGTGCTCATTTACTTGAGTCAGTGAAAACCAGATGTCAAAAATTGCCTACGACCGCAGCAATAATTCCTGGTGGTTTGGCCAAAATCTTACAACCATTAGATTTGTCCGGTAATAAACCCTTCAAAGCTGAAGTCTGAAAGTGGTGGGAGTGTTGGATGAGTGAAGGATTGCATACGTATACCAAAAGTGGTAAAATGCGTAGAGCATCTTATGAAGAAGTTGCAAAGTGGGTAGGAAGTGCGTGGGAAATCGGTAAAAACATTGTCAATAACAGCAAGGTTCAAAGAAGCTTTAAGAAATTATATCCTTAGATAAAAAGACTAAACCAAGACAGGGTTGCCACTCAAACAGGAGAATGAAATTCCCTGACTTTTCCAGGTTTTCCAGGTGTGTTTCAAGAAAATTCCAGTCTATCCGCGTAATGTACGTTGGCTGTGCTAAGAGGTAAATTAATTATGGTATTACTTGTATTGTGTAGCAAACTCACTTAATTATTCAATAAATCCCAGAGGACATTTATTCTTAATTATTCTTGGTATACTTTGTTTGATAATTTTGTTTAGTTTCCACTTAAGAACTTATAAAATTTAAGATATATATATTGGATAACAATGTATGTTTTATTTAATTATTACTCATGATCATCACCAGTTCAACACGAGGCTAATCCGGTCCTTATAAATCACAACGCAATGCTAAATAGTTAGGTTAGATTTTAGGTAAATTTAATTGCGTGAGGTATGTTCTTAAAACCTTAACACTTGAAAACACAAATATAATTATAATAGTTTGTTGTTTTCTCCACTGAAGATTGAGATTAGAATCTTCCCAATCTGGAATAAAATAAGGCTTTTTTTGCAGATATTCTGCAGCTAAACGAACGAAAGAAAGAAATCTATTTTAATATATTGAGGTATTTTATATTTATTTTGCAGCATACATAAGGAAAAAATATGTGCATTAAATTTCGTGATGGTATGTCATCATACTGCTATAATTAATTTCAGGATTATGCCAGAGAAAATTTCCTGAAATTTGGAAATATTATTTACTAATAATAAATAAATTTAGAGGGAAGAAGCAACATTAAATTATATGAATAACATAAAAATAATTACTTAAAAATTGAATTAGAATAATCATCTAATATTTTAGCGAATATAGTTATATTACATGGCTAGCCTAGATGACTGATTACTATTTTTCTATTTTACTGCAAAATGGCAAGGTATTTATTAAAAAGAAAAAAAAAAGGGTTTTAAAAAAGATTTTGCGGTTAAAATTCTAGTATACGGTAAGGCTTGGCACGATTTTGAAAATTGTCGCCAAGACCAAAATGACCCGTTTACTGCGCATCAAGATGTGTCGCCAAATCCATTATTATTCTAACCAAAGAACGTCTATGTAAGAAGAAAAAGGTTCCATACAAGTAAAATGCTATTACGCCGCTAGAATGCGGAGGGAAAATTTGCCAAGGGATTTGGCGACGGAACCTGGCGGTCAGAATTTCGCTCTCTGCGATGTGTACAGGAAATTGAGAAACACGTGTTAAGAAGAAACGCTCTTTGACAAAAAGAAACTACGAAAATCCGTTTTTAAATTATTGCGAAACATCCAAGAAGAAACGTTTTATCAAAGGACGTTTCTTCTTGGATTTTTCGCAATAATTTTAAAAACGGATTTTCGTAGTTTTTTTTTTTTTCTCTGAAAATAACTAATCCATGAATAATTTACTTGCGCCAAAAAATATTTTCTTTTCCTTTAGAGTTTTAACCACTTGCGCTAAGACTCTAAACTTCACGGTTGCGGTGCCGTGCGCTACAATATAACAAGCGGTAAAGTGTGTCTCATTTACGCCGCTCCGCATCTGCGAGTGCAATCCAGAGCTGTAACTCGAGAAATAAACAATCTCGTTGTTAGGCGACATATGCACCACGTTATTTTCATTTTTGCGATAAATGCTTATCGACGTGGTGTTCACGTCGCTCGCGGTTTGAGACAAAAGCATCTTGACGTGCGTGGCACGTCTTTTTAGCGCAAGTGGTTAAAGAAATTTTAAACAATATTCAATTTATGTACTCTTGATAATGTGACCTTCGAACTTCGACACCGGTTTCGAGCTTTGATGACAGATATATCGCACATGCACAGCTGTTTCCCTCTATGATGGAACGGAGCCACGTCTGTTGCAGAGAGGTTTTCCTTCTTTACAATACATATTCTTTGATTCTAACCCTCATTGTACCGTATACTAGGATTAAACCCATTTTGTTCCCTGAATTTTTTGGTCAATTTCCGAATTCCCAGACTTTTTCCGTTTTTCCAGGTAGCGTGGCAACCCTGCTTAGACTGTGCTGAATCGAGAGCTATACTCTTGTGTATCGTCGAGTGCACCGCGAGTTGTAGCATGGAGAGTCTCGAGAATACATAGAGTTCCGAGAACGACCAAACAGAGTCAGTAGCTGTACTTTGGTGCTTTGCAATGAAGCTGTCTCCACCGTTTTTGCCTGACAGTGTGAAGGCTGTGTCGCTGAATGTGTCAGCGTGTTTATAACAGTTCGACGACTGTAAAAGTGATTTTGGAGCTATCTGATTAATATTGGTAAATAAAGTGTGTTTCAATATTTCATTAAGTGCTGTCATTGTTATTCACTCCAAATCCACACGAACCCCATACGAATGTGAACTAAGAAAATAACGTAACAACTGGTGTCAGAAAAGAAAAATGCAACAACTGGTGGCAGAAATAGGATTTGTGAGTGAATGCCATTGACCCGCCTGTATGCAGAGCCATGGTGGAGGAAATGAACACTTTGATGGACTTTTTAACCGAGATCAGAGACGGACAGAAGGAGTTGAAAGCCGGATATGCTGAGATAATGCCGGATATGAAGAGATGAAGGCTGAAATGAAAGCGGA